CCCGGATTAAAAACATGTCAGTGTGTCAGTTGTTTTTTATACTCCATATGATTAAAAGGAAGAAGCTAATGCATTTATAACTGACAAACCGACCAAGTTAGCATTGCAATATAAGAATTTGTCAGCGTTTTTATGTGATTATGTAAACCTGTTTTCTAATTTCGCATTGTTTGTATTTTTTTTAATTTTTATTGATATGGTATAATAACATATGCTTGATTACCTTATATGGTATCCTGAACTATGCTCAGTGATGCATTGATAATATATACAAAGTACCTGTTCACAATACACATATATACAGGACAGCAAAACATTGCACTGCTGCATTTGTGAGCATGACGCTTAGAAGCATTCAAATCATGTGAACATCTGGTAAAAAAATAGGTAATTTGAAAAAGTACTTTGCCCTGCAGTTCCCAGAAAATCGATCACGTGATTTTGGAGAGCCTATACATATGTAAGCCTGGCCGGGTAGATCATTGCCTACTGGATAACCGAATTATAGTGTTGATCTTTGTGTAATAGTCATGGCTGCAATTGCTGGGAGGACTCGGTTGGAAGTGGAAGATATCTCTTCGAAGGCGACAGTGCCCAACAACCACAGGGCAAAACTGATGTACTATCTGAGCTCCGTTACAACCGTGCTAGACATGGACGACTCAGACTCGGCTAACCTGAGACGCTTGTGTGATTACAGCAACTACAGCCGTCTGTCGTCCGAGGAGACTAGCCAGCTGATCTTGCTCTGTGCGCTCCTCTCTCCGGACGTCCTGCTCAACAAGTGTATATTCGCGGACGACGACATGTGCGGAGAGTTCTCAAACTCCTTCTACAAGATCAGTGCTGTCCGGAGCCGCGTAATGGTCAGTAGCAGTATCATGATTGCCGGACAAAACCGCAGTGTTAACAAGGTCATGTTTTTCAAGATGGAATGGCTTCGGGAAAACTATCTGGAACCCATCAAATATTTCGCTGACGAAATGGCGGCTGAGAAACGTCGACAGGAAAGGCTTGCCAAGAAAAAAGACTGTGTCATTTTATAGACTCGACAGCAAGTTTATCAGAACCACACTTATATACTTATGATTTATTATTGATATTATATATATATAAATTTAACTTGCAAATAGACTGAACAAAGGTGAACAATCGGTGTATCTGTGTGAACAATGGTTACAGAAATTGACCTTCACAACAATAGGATGGCAGACATATGATTTCTTTTGGAATCTGTGTGAATACGATTGTTCTTTACATTACTTGTGGGTAAATAATTGCTTTTGTAAATATCTAATAATTAAAAGTCGTTTTAATTGTTGGAAGATTTCTTTGTATATCTACTGGTCATCTACAAACTAAAAGGACACAAATCATTTTAGTAAGTCAGTAAGTCATTTAATTGCTTAACATTATTTATGGAATATTGGATTTTATGTAATAAATAATAAATAAACATATTCTTGTGAAGGAAACTATAGAATAAGATAATAAGTATCCGATATCTATTGCTAGGCCTTTCTGACTTCTTAAGTGGTAGATCGTTACGATAAAGTCTGTCCAGTCATAGCTTGACAAATGGACCAGTCGGTCTTGAAATGTTACGACACGTTTAATACGTACATTGATTGTGTAGAAAGTAAAACTTTGATATTACATATTTCCAAACTGATGAATCTTATTGAAGATATAGCTGTCCGATATTTGCATAGTTACTGTTTTTTGTCTTTTTTTTTTGTGTTGCCTCCACTAACGAAGGTCTAGGTCTTTTACCAACTCTTTCCTATGATCTTTCCTTACATTACCCGTGCAGGTTCTGGGATAATATAGGCCCGCTGTATGATCGTAAGAGGCGACTTATGTGCCCTGTCTCCTGCAGAATCGGGGGTGGTTTTCTTCCTTGTCTTCTGTTTAAGGGGACACATTTCTTATCTGTTCTGTCTCCTTTCTCTTTCCCGACGGTGTCTCCCTAGGCATCCGCCCTCATATGACCCTGGCTGTTGTGAGGACGTAAAACCACAAAAAAAACCAACCCACACCAAACTTTCATGAAACTACAAGTCACGCAAAATGTGCATAGGTTGTGCATGTCATTACCAAAACTTTGTTTCGTTTCGGCTCGAGAAACTATTCCATAAAACGCGCAGATTGTGTTGTAGGAATCTGGCGTTTAGCCAATTTACCCGTCTACATATATACATGTATGTACCTGTTGTGTAAACATTCAATACAGATGTTTTTTATTTGCTACGTAATTGAAGACCTAACTCATCTCAAAAGGTTATGAATTATTGGTTTAAAATGTCATATACTATAAATGAATTATTAAAAATTTGATCACATGTTTTTGGCTTTCTTTTAGTAAACATGTCTGGAGATCAGATTAGGTTTGTAAACGGTTTTCAATTTTCGCTTTCATATCATAACAATTTGTGACATTATTCTTTTGATTAAATACCTACAATGTTTTGTCCTTATTGTTAAATTCACATTTAATTTTCACACGCTGAACAATAAAATACGATAATATGACAGGGTGCTTTGAATAAACTGCTGTTCTACCGACAATATCATGATTGTTTACAGTGAGCGACACTACACATGTAGGTCAGTATATCTACGGTGCCACCGATAGTTCCACTGTATGCAGTGTTTACTGGAAATACCCTTTATATTTGTTCACGTAAACACATTTATCTTAATATTACTATACAGATAGCAGCTTGTTATCAACTCTCGATTTTGGATGAATCTACTTTCGATTTAGATATATACATCACTGCTGTGTACTAAAACATATGCCACGTCATCTGCTGTACGTGTATTTATAAATAAACAAATCTGTATTTAAAATCAGTCCTCGACAGTTTAGTCTGACAGAGAAGTCGGTAACTATAACAATAGTAACAATGAACTCTTCTCTGAATCACTTGCTGCAGTTTTAACCAGAAATAATTCTGTTTAATAATCTTATGACTGTGAGACGTTTTGTTTGTCATTTATAATGGCATATGGGAGGTGCATGTGCTTTGATAGTGATATTAAGTACGAATTACTATCCTCCAGAGTTCCATTGTGAAACACAACTATAGGAGCGGTTTTCTGGAGAATCATGATCACTAGCATATCAACATACTACAATATCGGTGTTCTTTACCTTGACAACCAAACAAGGCGTCGAGATAAAGTCTATCTACTCGCGAGGAGTTCTACGATGGCCGAAAAGAGCCTGACAAAAAAATATGAATTTTCATATCTTTTTGTACCATGGTACACTTTTATATGGTACACAAAGATATTAAAAATAAAATCTTTGTGTACCATGTAAAAGTGTACCATGGTACACAAAGATATTATGGATTATTTTTATAATACTTACATTTCTAGTTATTCTATCTGCTTCAACTTCTCAAATGGAAGAAACGCCAACGTGGTCCGTAGGGGACAAGGGGACAAGGGGACGAAAGGAGACAATCACTTTAATTACTTCGAAGGATAAATAGGCTAAAATTTATAAAAATAAAATAATGGGAAATACGTTGAACTAGTTGTACGATTCTTTTATAATCTGGACATCTATCAAAACAAGGGAAATGACGAAAATATACAGATGTCCTTAATCCCATTTGGAGACCCTGTCAAGGCCCAAATACTTACATAATTGAAACTAACTCTGTTTTTCATCAGAAGTGATTAATGACATTCACGACTTGTTTTGACGTTGTAATTAGGGCTTTACTATTCAGGGTCAGTTCTGGTCATAGTGTCCGATAACAACAATCCGATGCTCTGATGCTACACTTTTTTCCATATCTATTTGTACCGTAGGTGGTACAAAAAGAAAAGAAAAAAGTGTAACGCGGTACAAAAAGGAGAGAAGCTTTCATATCTCTTTGAACCGGGCAAAAGTTTGCCACGATACAGAAAGATATGAAAATTCAAACCATTTTGCCGGCTGATATCGGCTGTTGGTACATATACAAGTGAGAGTTTTTTTTGTAAAGTTGTTTATAATATTTATGTACCACGCAGGGTACGAAATGATTTGAATTTTCATATCTTTGTGTACCATGGTACACTTTTACATGGTACATACAAATTTGAATTTTCATATGTTTGTGTACCATATAAAAGTATAACGTGATACAAAAAGAAATGAAAATTCAAATATTTCTGTACCATGGTACAAACAGATATGAAAATTCAAATATTTCTGTATCATGTAAAAGTGTACCATGGTACACAAAGATATGAAAATTCAAATATTTCTGTACCATGTAAAAGTGTACCATGGTACAAAAAGATGTGAAAATTCAAATATTTCTGTACCATGTAAAAGCGCAACATGGCACACAAAGATATGAAAATTCACATTTTTTTGTCAGGCTCTTGTCGTCCATCATAAAGTTCCACTCAAACTTTTCTAGTAACAGCGAGTTTTTCCGGCTTAGAGTTATTTCCCCTGTCAAGACATTCGACAAACATTTTTTGTTTAAATTTTCTTGCTTAATTCCTCGCTGGCAACACTGGTTAATAAGTGTAGGCGTAACAAAGTACACGTACCCTGAGTTCGACTTCTGCAGTTTTCCTATTTTCTACTACATGTTTTTTTTATTCAAGCATCCAAATTTCGAGCGATAATAATTCTTTAAAATACATCGTAACATGTGCCTTTTTTGCGAGCTATTTCTTTACGTGACAACTATCTCACTACAGTCACAATGATAATAACATGGTTCGACTGGTTGTGCCTTTTTTTGCGAGCTATTTGTTTACGTGACAAATATCTCACTATAGTCACAATGATAATAACATGGTTCGACTGTTGGTGCCTTTTACCCTAATGGTGGTATCTGCTGCATGTTTAAAGATTTGGAATTCCATCGCCGAGTGACAGACGAGAAACAAAGAAACAGTTGGCAAAAATAGTTATTGGTTTCAATCATTTTCTTCGTTGTATCAACTCTATATACCCGGACGAAAAATAACATAAGAATAAAGACTGTTTAACACATCTAATGTAAAGGTTTTCTGTTGTGCGGAGTTCTAATTGCTAGATTTTGCGGTTGGGGATTTTTAAGCGAAAAAATACAACCCGCGAAATTAGCTGGAATTTAATCCATCCTCACCTCACCACTGTGTACCATGGCTGCGAAAAAAACCACTTTTGTCCCCGAAAAAGGACGCTTTGTCAAGATAAAGGCTAGGGTTTGATGGTGGTCACAAATAGTCTTTCGTTACCCCAATGGTAATTAAAAAATAGTTTCAATTACTTATTTTCCTTCAAACCTAATAAAAGTTAGCTTCAAATCATTTCAACAATAACTGCCAGGTATTTACTTAGCGATGTGAAAAAGGCACTGAAACATGAAATATATATCTAAAAAATATACGATAGCACTTTGCTTTTATGGAGTAACTGACTCACCATTTTCAAAATAAATAAATAGGTTTGCCATTTGTCTTTACATAGGCGGAAAAACTACCATAAATCTGAAGTCTGTGAATTGTGCTTTTTTACACGATCAATATAGAGTTTAATCTAAACTGTGGATATGTTTAAATCCGATGAATACTCTATGTATTAATATGTTCACATCCAATGTACACTTAATCTACGTATTGATGTTTTGTTTTCATCCGATTGTAACTTATCTTTAGGTTTCCTTTTCATCATGGAATGCTTAAGTCCATTACTGAATATATATATAAAATAATATATAAATGTTTGGGGTAACATTGGTATTCAAGTGCAAACTAGTTAACATTTCATTTACATATTGTTATCTCAATTAAAAACAAGGGTATTCCCACACTGTGAATGATATATAGTTAAATATACATATTTTAAGATATGACGTCATAATAAAAATTTAACATTATGAAGTTTGTCTGACTGCGTACGGTTATTTCTCATTATCAAAATGTAAGAAATAACAAGATATTCGATTAAATAAAAATGATACCTCCCAATTTACGCCAACATTTGCTTTGTAATCACTTCACTTTTGACCTATAGAGGCGAAGGTCAAGGTGCAATGCACTCCACGCTTGAGGTTGATGCAGGTAAACTTAATTATACCAACGTTTAAAAAATCAGATCGCATATTTCACTGAAACTTTGCACTCATTTGACCTTTGACCCAGAAGGAAGGTTAGATTGATGTAGTTACGTTACATTGCAAACATTGTGTGATTGATGCAGTATACTTCAATAACTAATACCACATGTCTCCCTTTTATTCCAGGGAGACATATAATACTGTATACCGAGAATCTGTTGTCCAGTCAATTTTTCGCCCTACGCCAGTTAAATCCATGTTTGCCCTTCTCATTTGGTTACTGTTAACTATATCGTTTACTACTGTTCGCTTTAGTGTTTAATTCGCACTCATTGCGGAGGGCTAAAGACGAAAATACCCCGGTATACAGTAATCCAAGTACTCACAGAGACTAAATGTCGTAATACGTCTACTGTAATATATAACTTTGTCACCAGGGAATCACAAAACAATGTATTCACTATAACCAAAACATGTCGGCTATGCAGACTAATTATATACTTTTTAAAGCTGTAAGAAATACTTTACAATGACAGCAAAAACACTGTAACTCGACTGAAGTTCCTACTGACAGGATGTAAACACAGGTATACACATAAGCGTAAGACACATATTTGTACATATCACTGCGAATAATGATACTCGCATATATATGTCTGTGATACAAGTACGTGTATAGTTTACAATAAATGGCGTTCCCAACAAATACATGCGTGTATATTTGATAATGAATAGCAATATATCAGTGTCTTTGTCAGACCAGAATGACCTATCGTGTTGACCTTTGTGGGTAATATTTATATAGACGATGAAAGTCTGTGGAAAGTTATATCCACTCAATCATTAATGTTAAGATGTATTGATTAATATGCTGACCTAAACCCAGTTGTTCATGTTTTTGAAATAACAGCATATAAAAATAACAAAATTTAGAAACACACCCGGGGAAATATTATTAGAGCACATCGGAAAAATAGACAACATAGAAGCAAGTAACTTCCTTTTTAAAAATAAAACAAAAAAAAAACCCGCAAATTGGTAGCAATAAATAAGACTGATATCTCAATTAAGCTAACTGTGCCTTTGGTATACTAAAATGGTACCAGGGTAACATACCAGGCTCGCTATATCAAATACGAAAACTTTCTTTGCGTGATTCGAAAACGTCTGTTTCCTTTGTCAAGAAAAGAGTGCTCTTTTCGAAAGTTTGCAGAACAAATTGTCAATGACTTTAAATTCTATAAAAAGTACAATAATGTAATATTATAAACGTTACAATAATGTAATATTATAACAGCTTATACGGACATTTATATACCAATCAAACACGGCAACTTAACTAACACATGGTTAATAAAATTTTATCCTCTCTCAAAATGAGATTAATTATATTATGTTATATTTACAGGAAAGTGAGAGCATTATTCTCTGCCCGTTATTTTTCACATAATCAAAATAACTACTTACATGATGAAATCAATATATGACGATGACACTTTGGTTACATATCCAGAATTGATATGAAAAAATATAAGAGTCGATATGCTCAACTCCGCTGAAAAAAACCCACGTTTAAAGATAAAATATAAAAGCTATATTTCAGATTATATCATATAACACTTGCACAACGCAAAAAACAATCTTGCTAAACATGTATGACTTGGAAACATTAAAAAAAATCTAACAGGCGTCTAACACATAAAATGTACATCAATCACGATAATTCACAGAAATCTGAAGTTTAGAAAGTCACAAAGTATACAACGAATCTTACTTATGTACAAGTAATGACACTCGATGCATTTTCTCACCATTCTTTTTACAAAGCTTTTAGCTTACTTTACGTTATACACAAACACTTTTTAAATAATACATTGATGTTTCTGAGAACGTTTGCTATTACTTTATACATCAACGCTAACCTGAAGCTAAGGTGAATTTGAAATTCTTGTCTTGTACGAAACCAAATCGGTGTGCATTTGTATCGACAATTCATTGTTAGAAATAGAAACAAATTTAAACGTATAACATTAGGGTTTTACATCAATAATGGAACAAGTTTTATCAATACATTTACAAATCGATCTTCTATGCTCAAAGCTCTACAGTATTAACTGGTAGACTCTACCTACAGTCTGCTCCAATTGATTTGGCACATGGAATATTTTAAAAATGAAATAAAAGTTTACTGTCTACGTCCTTTTCTTCTGCCTTTACTTCCTCTTCCGCGATCTTCTCTACCTCTTCCGCGAACTTCTCCCTCTCTTCCTCCTCTCCTCAAACTCGCTGCTGCGACTACGGTTGCTGCTTCAGCGTCTCTAAATCCAACCCTTCTGTTGACCATTCCATCGCCTCTTCTTCCTTTTCCTCTCTCTTCTTTTCCAAATCCAACAATTCTCCCACCGCCAACATCACCTACACTCCCTCTATCATCCAACACATCGCCCTCTCTGCTACCTGCTTCAGTACCTCTGCCCCATCCCCTTCCGAATCCAGTCCCTCCGAACCCTCCTTGTCCTCTGCTGCCTCCTCTTCCACCTCTCTGCCCCCTAAACCCACCTCTTTCCTGTCCTCGCCCTGTCCTGCCCCTTCCTCTTTGTTCAAATTTTTGCTGGTGTGGAGAGGCCATATATGTTTGTCGAGATGGAAGTATTCTGTCGCCTTGATGCTCATACACTTGACCTCTTGTGGTGCCATGTATACTATTTTCGGATCCATGTCCATGCCCATCTGTACCTGAGCCACGCCAACCCATTTCGGAATCACGCCCACCTCTTTCAATGCCATTTCCACCACGCTTAGAGCTACGCCTACTTGTTTTGGAGCCACGTGCATTGTTGTCCGGATTTTGTTCCACTTCGAATTGGCCGCGCCAATTGTCCAGAAATGTTTTCTGATGTAACAAAAGGAAAGAGCTCTGAATGATTCGAAGTGCCGATATTTAAACCAATGCTGAATAATTATTCTTCGATGGTCAAACAATCAAACGTATTAAAACAAATCTAATTTTGTGCAACTGCTTGCCAGTTTTCCCACTCTCAACAAAAATTAAACGACTTAACCGAATGAAGGCAAAATCGATAAATTGATATTTAGACCAAATATACTTACGTAGGAAAAAGTGAAGGGTGTTCCGGACGTACACTGTATACAATTTTCTCCACGGAATACGGCGGATGCAATGTGACCTTGAAATGATATAATATATAATTATATTTACACTGAGTGATTAATTATTCCGCAGATAATAGAAGAATTGCATAAAATCCAGTTCAGTTGGACTCTACTTATTCATTACAACCATATACGATGATTCATCGATTATAATTTACCAATAAGATAAGTGGAATTATATTACTTACAAAAGTCAGGTCTTAACTAAGGTGGACATTTCACAAAAAGTGTTTTAATAGTATTGATGTCACAATGCAAACGTGATATAAGGTTTTGATGTCCAGTTCCATATCTGACAGATAATCAACGGAAAAATATAATTCTTTTTTTTTTTCGTTAAATAATAATATGTATTTTTCACTTGTACGTCAAATCTTAATATTAAATATCTGTCATACATATACATAAGTATGTTATCCAACTTCATTTACGTAACGTCTCTGTCTATTGCTAGGTTAGCGCTGCTGTCAGACGTTGTCGTTTAAATTGCTACAGAAACCTCTATTTATTAATTATCATAAGGATCAGGGAGCATTTTTTTCAATTTTCATTTTAATTTTACCATTATCGTTATAAACCTTATACTTAATTATCTAAATTTATTTTAGAAACTTGCGTTGAGTCCATACCTAAATGAGATACGTAAACTGTCACAGCTATATTGTGCAGTGTTAATCATGTTTGGTATGCTATATTTATTGACAAATTGTATAGGTGCAATCCCGTATGTACCTAAACTTATCTCGGGTGTCCCCTCGAGCTACGGCGAAACAACACTAGAATATGTAGCCCAAAACTGCTGTAAAACTCACGTTTACAGGCTGTAAACCAATATATATATTTACCTGCAGAGCAGATGAACCAGTCGTCCGTGTGAACACCAATCGTGTGGAGTCTAGGGAAGTTCATAACCTGTTCGATCTCAGAAAGATCCGTCAGTAGCATCCCTAGCATTTGACGCACTTTGCACAGCTCTGTCCGGCTGAACGTCTGTGATTTCTTTATAAGATCATCAACAGCATGTACGATCGCATTAGTTCTAGTTTCTGCAATCTTTGTTTTCTTCTTCCTTTCTCTCCTTTCAGATTGTATTACATGTCGCACATTGTGTCCAGCAACATTATCAAAATCGAGATCCAGATCATCCTCCAAGTCTGACAAGGTGACGTCTTCGTCTTCTGAATCAGATGAAGAAATGTCCTCGTCAAGGGTGTTGGCGATGTAGAGAAGCCATGTGGCAGACAATTTTGTCAAAGTTTGATCGATACAGGATGCGTCTTGTTGCATAATAGTTGCTGATTTTCTTAAGTTATGGAGAAACCTCGTGAGTTGATCAGTGGTTGATTTGGACCAACTATAGGACCACTTCAAAGGAATTCGGCGGTTTTTGAGTTCTTTCTGGCAAAACACGTACGTATTGAATCTTTGCAAATATGAACGAGTCTCTGCTACTCCTCCACATATCGTCGGAAACAGTGGTTCCCTCCCCAAACCTTCAGACCCGAGAGCCAGCGCCTTTTTCGCGATAGCCAGAGTATCCCACTGTTTTTTGAGGCGGTTTGTAAAACGTGGATGCCATTTGATGACTTTTGCACATTTTGGACAGCATAACAAACTTAAGATATTGTCCTCCTTAGCAAACCTTTTGTCCAAATACCTAGCAGAATGTTCATGGCCACAGTCTTCGAGTCGTACAATACGAATGTCCCCAGAAGAGTTCCACACGTCGTCAAACTCTGAACAGCTCACAGGTTCACAAACAATACAGAGGCTCGGACAAGGGTCGCCGCAGTAGCCCATACACGGATGTTTACATTTCAAAAGTTGCAGACATGGTTGGTCACACCGAGGCCTGTCACATTCCTCGTGGCATAGGCGGGAGCAGTTGTGATGTGGACACTGCATGGTACATGTCTTCTTACACGGAATACAATCACGGAAACAAGGGTGATCACATCGCCGATGAGGACAGTATTTTTCACACTTTTCGGAACAAAGTTTACACGATCCACAAGTTTTACTTCTGCAATCATGTCCGCAAATTTGACGTTTCCTGCACGGTTCGTTGCATTCACCATGAGTCAAACTTTCGAAACACTGCGTACACTTCCTGGTACAAGTATGACCGCATGACATGCTTTTGGAACAGATTGAGGAACATGTTTGTTGCTCCGACACGCTGCATTCAACTGTGGTTTTATGTCCACAAATAAATATCTTCGTTACATATGTTTTACACGTAGGAAGTGTTGTTAGATCCGATATGCCTGTCCTTTGTTTGTCTAGGGAGGTCTTCACATTACAGGGAATTGTTACCGCATGCCCGCATTTCGGCAACACATAATCTACGTCTTTATCACAACGATACTTATTACAAACAGACATGACTCCGGAAGAGTAGGATTCAGAACACTCCATATCCTTTTCATGTCCGCAAGGTAATGACTTACGGACAATTGTCTCACATTTTGTGGAAGTAGAGGGAGTTGTGCAACATTCTACTTGAATAGTATGTTCACACCTCGGGTGAGGTTTACCGACGCTTTCCTTACATCTGTACATTGAAGGAGATTCTGAACACTTCATTATCCTTGTGTGCTGACAGAGAGGGATTGTCTTCGGAACGAGGGTATCACAGGATGCTTTGTACCGGTTTGACGACGGATCGGCAGAACATTCCATCATCATTTTATGACTGCAAGTAGTCAAGCGTTTCAGAACCATCGTCTGGCAGTCAACACTGTTAGGGTCCTTGTTACAGGGAATCCTCTGAGTGTGTCCACATTTCTGAATAACCTTAGTCATTACAACATCACATTTACAGCTCGATGGATGGTGACATGTCCTTTGGCACGTGTGACCTCGATCGCAAATTTTCAAGCATTTGTCCTGGCAGGTCGCGTGCTTTGATTCATGACATTTCATCACCTTAGTATGAGGACATGCCCATGATTTTGTCACAGACTCTAAGCATGAATGTAGACGCTCATACAGCGGTTCCCAATCACTGCAACGAACGTCATAGTTGTGTTCACAACTGTCACGACTTTTCGTAATAGTTTTATCACAGCGAACATCTGCAGTAACCCTGTAACACTCCATGTCGTTCTCATGACCACATGAGGGTAGAATGCGGTTAACCTTGATCTTACATTTGTATAACAGCATATCAAAACAGCATTGGACCTCGGCCTCGTGTTCACAAGACTCCAGGGTCCGTATTACCGCAGTTCGACATTTGTGCGTGTCTGGATTCTCCCAGCACTGCATATCTGCTTGATGTGAACACGCTTCAAGGGTTCGCATTACAAGGATCTTACACTTGTATGTCTTCGTGTTGATATGACACTTGAGTTGAACGGAATGTCCACATGCAAGCTCCCGGTCTACTCTTACATCACATTTAAAAGTCGGCGCTGGTTGGCAACATTTCATGTCTGCTCTGTGTCCACAGGGAAGGATTTTATTCATTGTAATTGGACACTCACAATTTTCGCCAAAATGGCACTTCCTTTTGCAAATGTGCTCATTTTGGCATATCTCGTCACAGAGTTGCTTGCAGACGTACGTTGTATGCATTCTGTCTATGGGGTGGCAGTAAAGCCTGCACGCGTGCCCACAACATAACCGGAAGTCACACTTCAATTCGCATCCTCCTTCTGGTGATTTCATAAAATCTGAAGCATCTTCCGCTTGTATACCTTCAGTCTGTGAATGGTTTTGACAGTAAAGCGGAAGAGCTTTTCCAAACTGTCCTGCCGTCTTCACCTTTTGTACAACATCAGCCCATCGCGAATTTCTAGATTCAAACATATTGAAATTCCCAATTACATACAGTCCTTTCTTAGCGCGGGATAGAGCAACACATATCCTATTTTCCCTGGAGAGAAATCCGATCTTTCCATCTTTATTGCTGCGGACAAGTGACAAAAGAATGATGTCATTTTCTTCTCCCTGGAAGTTGTCAATAGCGACAGTCTTGACGCCTTCGAACTCATGTCTCGGCATACAATTACGGATACAAAACATTTGACCAGTGTAAGCAGCCAGCACTGTGATTTGAGTGCTTTCATATCCTTGCTTCATCAAATACTTGCACAGATTAGCGATAAATTGGGCCTCATGCATGTTGGAATAGCTTCTGATGTCTTCTGCATAATCCTCAGGCTTGTTGTGATTGATGAAAAACACGTCTTTCCTCACACCCATAATATGTTCGTACCCGAAAACGTTTTCGTTGTCGTCCAGAACATCGTAAATATCCCTGACAAGTATAGATATTTCAGGTCGCATCCTATGTTGTCTTTGCAGGCAGTGATTTTTTATGCCGTTGTTCAACATGCGTTCAAACATGGACAGGGACAGGTTGTATTTCAGGGCCAACTGCATTACTGACGGTTTCGGTTCCAGTTGCTTATGGTCTCCTATCAGGACGAGGTGTTCACATCGGGGACTAAGAGCGGTGATAATATGGGCTTCTAATACTTCAGCAGCCTCCTCTACTATAACGATCCGTGGACCGATTTCCTTTAGAACGTCCTGGTATTTTGCTGCCCCAGTAGTTGTCATACCAATCAGTGTAGAGGCCTTTAATATTTCTGCATCGACTTCTTTTTTCTCTTTTTGATAGAACTCGATAGTTTCGTAATACCTTTTCTCTAATTCGGGAAGTTGCTCGTTCTGCATTTGTTGATACAAATACACCCAATGTCGATACAGTCGCCAGCGCTGCTCTACCGCAAGCCTCTTCAAACTACACGGAATATTACTGGCTTCATTCTCATCCATCCTGTCAATTGCTTTTAGTTTGGCCAATGTTGCGTTTGCCTCATGTTGTAATAATGATTGAAACTGTTTATCAAGTTGTTGTGTTGATAGCATATTGCCAAGAACGACCATAAGTTGCTTTTGGACATCAAGACCGATCTGCTCCTTAAACCGTACACTGAAATCGTCATCTTCAATCCTCCTGTCATCTTCTACTTTCTTTGCTTCATTTTCCTCGATGTTGTCAACATTTGTGGCCGTATGAACCGCTACTTCCGTGTTTGTTGACGGTGACACTGTTTTCATCTGGGATATCTTTTTGTAAGCTTTTTCAGACCTTAGGAGCCAAGACTTTTCGTCAGCCCCTAGCCAACTAAACAGCTTCTTCGGCGAAAGTTGATTCCTCTCTTCAAAGTGTAGCTGATGATTCCTTTGCATAACCGGCACTAATAACCCAACATCAAGAACTGTATCATTTAGGTGGGCGCAAATGTACGCTAAAAATGATATATTCTGGTGCTGACAGATAATTGAATTGTAAAGTTGATCCAGTTTTTGCTCCTGTTCTTGTCTTTCATACCGAGAGCGGTGGTAATGATGGCGACGATTTTTCAAAGAGAACTCCTGAATAGCTTCGTTTTCGGACCTTCCACCAACCCGCACAATTTCGTCAGACCACATCATCTTATTGCTACCGTCAAGAAATTTTACGATACCTTCCATAAACTGATCCAAAGCATGGTTCGTGTAGCAGACTACCATAATCTGATCTTTCGTTTTTGATTGCGTTTTTCTGAATGTATAACGTTGGCTTGAGGACCTATCTTGCCATGCATTCTTGTTATGAAGAAGCGTCTTGGCAATTTGGAGGCCGACATGAGTTTTGCCGGTCCCCGGTGGTCCCTGTATCAAGACAAATTCTTGAGTAAGAGCAGCATGGTAGGCCTCGAACTGAGACTTGTCGAGCTGAAGCTGTTCAGCTGACGGCCAATGACTCACAGGGCCGTTTAACTTAACGCGAAAACGTGTATGGCTGCGCAAACCGTTTCTGAATATGACTTTGCCAGAGACTATTGGGTGCAAGTCGTACGTAGCATCTTCAACAGTAAGGTACAATGGAAGGTCGACATCTTTCATGCAGTGGACTATGTACTTTTCAAAAGGCAATTCCCCTTCCTCAAGTCTCTGAAGACCAGCCAACACATGCCTGTATGCCTCAAAGTAGGCCGTTGATTCCACCATAGTGAAGGTAGCTTTCAGAGGTAACCTCATCTCTCCAACCTCTGTTGGAAATACGATTTTGAAACTGTGATCGTTTGCAAGAATATCTCTATCCGACTCTGCAACGATTGCAAAGACCATTGTGTGAAAACTATCGGCCGACAGACAGAGCAGCGAGCCATACAAGAGTCTGCGACTTGACTTCCATTTAATTCTCTGAGCGTGTCCCTGATCGAGTGTAACTTTATACATTTGTCCTTCAACATTGTGTTCGACATACTCAACGGAGACGTTTTTGTAGAGCCGTCCGTCCTGCAGTCGTCTGACGTTGTGGCCGGCACTGACCTCCTGCACGTACTGAGTAATGCCCTCACGCAGTGGGCTGATACAATCCACTCGGTAAAGTCGGAACTGGACATCGAGGTAGTGGTGCAGGTTTTCATAGCCACCTCGAGACTTGTTTTTACGTATAAATGCACCACGCGATCCTAAAAATATGTCAGAAACTCTAGGTAATATTGGTATATTACGAAAGTCGTCTGGTGGTGCTTGCTTCTCGAATGGTAATCGTGGATTGTCGTGAGAATGAGACACCATTCTCTTCATTACATTGTCTCGCATTTCTTCTAAGCTCTCCGACAAGCTGGCTACACATTTCCTGCGTTCTCCCTCGGCCACCAGGAGCATATCTTCTGTCCTTTTCTGTAGAATGATTATCAAACCAAATGCGTTTGTAAATGAGCTTGGTAGTCGCAGAGACACCTGGTTCAGTAATTCCACTAAGGTTCCAATGAATCTAAACGCTTCATCCTCATCAGTGCTTTTAATGAAAGCAGATGATGTTGCAACAAGTTCCTTCATGAAGAAATTAGAGCCGACAAGGACGCTAAACATGTCTATAACTCCGGCTATGTTCGTACTTCGTGCTGCTTTTACCAGGACTGCCACCAGCTGAGTGACGTAGTCCGGGGCGAGACCTGGCCGATTGAGGGTCATTTCTGTCCGGTGTCTCTCTGTGTTTACCAGGGAGTCGAGTACGTCTGTACATGTTTTGGATTCGGTAAGGAACTCTTTGAAATGACTGCCAGTGAATATATGCGTTTGCTTTGGCACCGCCATAGTATATTAAAGTGAAGTACTTACGATTGAGCACAATGCTGGCAGCCTATGTGACAAGCGGACGACATCGCCATTTAAAACGGCGAATTTACGTCTGAAATAAAAAGAGAATGTTGTACTTTCAAACAGATTCCAGACATACCTCGATCAGCATCTACTATAACGAATCTCAAATTTAAAAAAATGGTTTTGACACGTGTCTTTAGATGGTTCTCGTAGGAGCCTGAAATGCACCTGCTCGGCCATTACCATGTTCTCGCCACTACTAGTAGCAGGTAATACCTGTTCTGCCTTGATCATATGATTAGGTTTACGTGATTGTTTTATGAATAGGCCAATTTCAACATCTGGATTATCTTCACAAATACATTCCCATTAATCATGTTAATTTAATTTAGTTTAACAAGGCTGTTGTTAACGCTTTGCTATCATTTTAAATTTCAAAAAGAGACACAGTCACTTGAGTTGTTATACTATTGTTTCATTGATGCGGTGCAACAAAACTACGTAACTTATAGATAATTTTTACATCACTAAGACAGTAACTAATCACTACATCTCTACTATAGGAACAAAGGACCTCATCACTAGTATAGAAACTAAGGACTAAAGCACAACTAGAGTAACTAAGGAATACATCATTATGATAGTAATTAATCATAAGGGCTACGTCACTATTATAGTAACTACATCGTAACTAGAGTTTTGTTTTTGTGACGTATGTCTCCCCTTTAACTATCTAACAGTTACGACCCAGACAAGATATTCCTGAAAACTTTGCACTTATTTGGCCTTTGACTTCGAGGTCAAGGTCACAGTGACCTAACGACAGTGCACTATACATCATCTTAGTGTGATGAGATATACTGCAAGTTTTATCAGGATATCTTTAACTTGGCACCTATTTGACCTTATTATTAGAGGAACTGCCTAATGCTAAATTATAAAATGCATATATGAACAAGTTCTAATTGTAATGGGGACCATAACAGAAGTCCTCAAATTGACCCCATAGTTGCAAACGATGCTTGGATAGAGTTTACGATGCCATCATATACTTGCATACGAAGTTCAAGCAAAATAAGATACAGTGAGGGACTGTTGGCATCACCTTGGTGTACAATTTTAAATGTTTGAAACAATCAGACGGGTTTACCTTTGACATTGAGGTAAAGGTCACAATGACCTACCGAACCTGCATTGCACATCATCTGTAGGTGATGCAGTTATACTGAACGTTTCATCATGACATCTTTAATGATTTAAAAGTTACAGCCTGGAGAAGATCATATCAGAAGAACCAGAACCAGTACTTATACAATATATATCCCTTCATTCGAAGAAGAGACATAATGACTACATGAGTGAGATCGTCATCAGTATAACAAATTACTAAATCACCAACAATTTAACTAAGGATTACATCAAAATGATAGATACAAAGGACTTCATCATTATGATAGTAACAATAGACTTCATCATTATAATAGTTACAGGGGACTTCATCAACACTAAGGTAGCTAAGGATTACATTACTATGACTATGATAGTAACAAGGGACTTCATCAACACTAAGGTAGCTCAGGATTATATCGCTATAATAGTAACAAAGGACTTCATCACCACAAAGGTAGCTCAGGATTACATCACTATGATAGTAACAAAGGACTACATCACCACAAAGGTAACTAAGGATTACATCACTATGATAGTAACAAGGGATTTCATCAACACTAAGGTAGCTAAGGATTACATTACTATGACTATGATAGTAACAAGGGACTTCATCAACACTAAGGTAGCTCAGGATTACATCGCTATAATAGTACCAAAGGACTTCATCACCACAAAGGTAACTAAAGATTACATCACTATGATAGTAACAAAGGACTTCATTACCACAAAGGTAACTAAGGATTACATCACTATGATAGTAACAAAGGACTGCATCACCACAAAAGTAACAAAGGATTACATCACAATGATAGTAACAAAGGACTACATCAAAACTGAGGTAACTAAATACTACATCACTATAATAGTAACAAAGGACTTCATCGACACTAAGGTAGCTAAGGATTACATCACCACCAATGTAACCAAAGACGTCATCACTATGATAGTAACAAAGGACTTCATCACCACAAAGGTAACTAAGGATTACATCACCTGATAGTAACAAAGGACTACATCATCATCAAGGTAACTAAGGATTACATCACTATAATAGTAACAAAGGACAACATCACCACTAAGGTAGCTAAGGTTTACATAACTACGTTAGTAACAAAGGTCTCCATCACCACTAAGGTAACTAAGGACTACATCACTACGATATTAACAAAGGACTACATCACCACAAAGGTAACTAAGGTTTACATAACTACGATAGTAACAAAGGATTTCATCACCACTAAGGTAACTAAGGATTACATCACTACGATATTAACAAAGGACTACATCACCACAAAGGTAACTAATGTTAAATTAACTACGATAGTAACAAAGGACTACATCACCACTAAGGTAACTAAGGATTACATCACTACGATATTAACAAAGGACTACATCACCACAAAGGTAACTAAGGTTAACAAAACTACGATAGTAACAAAGGACTACATCACCACTAAGGTAACTAAGGTTAACAAAACTACGTTAGTAACAAAGGACTACATCACCAAAAAGGTAACTAAGGTTAACAAAACTACGATAGTAACAAAGGACCACATCACCACTAAGGAAACTAAGGATAACATCACTATGATAGGGACAAAGGACTTAATCACCACTAACGTAACTAAGGATAACATCACTATGATATTAACAAAGGACTACATCCCCCCAAAGGTAACTAAGGATTCCATCACTCCGATATTAACAAAGGACTACATCACCACCAAGGTAACTAATGTTAAACTAACTACGATAGTAACAGAGGACTTCATCAACATAACAAAGGACTTCATCACCATCGAGGTAACAAAGGATTGCATAACTATGATAGTTACAAATGATTACATCACCACTAAGGTAACTAAGGATAACATCACTATGATAGTAACAAAGGACTTCATCAACACTAAGGTAACTAAGGATTACATAACTATGATAGTAACAAAGGACAACATCACCACAATGGTAACTAAGGATTACATCACTATGATAGTAACAAAGGACGTCATCAACACTAAGGTAACTAAGGATTACATCACAATGATAGTAACAAAGGACCACATCACCACTAAGGTAACTAAGGATAACATCACTATGATAGTAACAAAGGACTACATCACCATCGAGGTAACAAAGGATTGCATCACTATGATAGTAACAAAGGCCTACATCACCACTAAGGTAACTAAGGATTGCATAACTATGATAGTAACAAAGGACTACATCACCACAAAGGTAACTAAGGATTACATCACTATGATAGTAACAAAGGCCTACATCACCACTAAGGTAACTAAGGATTGCATCACTATGATAGTAACAAAGGACTACATCACCACTAAGATAACTAAGGATAACATCATTATGATAGTAACAAAGGACTACACCACCACTAAGGTAACTAAGGATAACATAACTATGGAAGTAACAAAAGACTACATCACCATCGAGGTAACAAAGGATTGCATCACTATGATAGTAACAAAGGACTACATCACCAATAAGGTAACTAAGGATTACATCACTATGATAGTAACAAAGGACTTCATCTACACAAAGGTAACTAAGGATTACATCACTATAATAGTAACAAAGGACGTCATCAACACAAAGGTAACTAAGGATTACATCACTATAATAGTAACAAAGGACGTCCTCAACACAAAGGTAACTAAGGATTACATCACTATGATAGTAACAAAGGACTACACCACCATCGAGGTAACTAAGGTTTACATACCTATAATAGTTAAAATGGATTACAACACCACTGAGGTAACTAACGATTACATCACTATGATAGTAACAAAGGACTACACCATTATGATAGTAACAAAGGACTTCATCAACGCTAAGTTAGTTAAGGATTACATCACAACCAAGGTAACCAAAGGTAACTAAGGATTACAACGCTATGATAGTAACAAAGGATTTCATCAACACAAAAGTAACAAAGGATTACATCACTATGATAGTAACAAAGGACTTCATCAACGCTAAGTTAGTTAAGGATTACATCACAACTAAGGTAACCAAAGGTAACTAAGGATTAAAACGCTATGATAGTAACAAAGGATTTCATCACCACTAAGATAACTAAGGATTACATTACTATGATAGTAACAAAGGACTTCATCAACACAAATGTAACTAAGGATTACATCACTATGATAGTAACAAAGGACTTCATCAACACAAAGGTAACTAAGGATTACATCGCTATGATAGCAACAGAGGACTTCATCACCACTAAGGTAGCTAAGGATTACATCACTATGTTAGTAACAAAGGACTGCATCACGACCAAGGTAACCAAAGACTACATCACTAAGACAGTAACAAAGGACTACATCACCACCAAGGTAACCAAAGACTACATCACTAAGACAGTAACAAAGGACTACATCAACACAAAGGTAACTAAGGATAA